TAAAGACCCATCAAAGGCACACTATGACTTGATCGCAAAATCATGTTAACTCCCCAACTCATCGTCTAAGTTTGTCTAACAAGATTGATGCCACTGTGAGGAAGCGATTAGTTTGCAAGAACCTTCTATTTTGTCAAAGAAAAATATGGCCCCAACGAATGTGGTTTGAGATCGCAATCTCAAGAAGTGATGAGGTCGTTCAGACCTCTTGTTCAAAATTCTCCAACGATTTCCAAAAAGTCATATCTAGGTATATTATGTATCACAAAATTACAACACTCCATCATGATAGAAATTCAACCAAAATCCACAACTAAAACAAAATAATACAAAAGAAAGACCATATCATACTACTCAAAATGGTCCAAATGTTACCCGAGCTTTGGCATAGTCATCACTTCACCAAAAATTTTCCTAAAACCCGAAATAGCTGACCTTTAAAAATGAGTCATACCTTATTAGTACAATAACAATATCTTAATTTTTCCAAAACCATCTATCATCAAATGCTCTAACATATCAATACTTCAGTCTACAAATGGTTTTTAAGAAATGTTCAATCATCCCAATAATGAGATCATTGGTAAATATATTTGTTCCATTTGTCATCCATATGAATATTTAAAAGTGTAATAATCTTCTTTTCTGCATGGCTATAAGAAAATATTCCCAAAGGTTAATGTGTTTTTTCTGCAACTGAAAGATAAAATTTCAACTAAATGAACTATAATTTGGCTATCGAAATCCACCACCACCTAATAAAACACAAAATCAATGTCACTCAAAAGTTACTTAAGCTACAAATCTTTTTTTTTGTTTCTTTAACTCTAGTGATCAACTCGACATTGATCATTGAAAATGCAACAATGGATTGGAACCTCAAATAATAATTAATTTCAGTCCACTAAAAGTAATATACATAACCAACCATAGGTTGAGCTAAATTACCTTTGTCGTCATGATAGTCGAAGCCATAATAACCATTCATATCACAGTTCATACTAACACATCTAAAAATAAGCCTTACTCTTTCGTTACATATAAGTACCAAAATATGTCCTTCGTAGTATTCTAATATGTCTTACTCGAGTTGCATAAGAAATGACTATCATACTAACCACTTTCACAAAGTCATCTCCTCGAAACTAGAACATACATTGTATAAGAAATGACTATGCATAAGAAATGACAGTTTTTATTAGTGTTAAATTCGTTAGGATTTAATCACTTCAACAAGTGATAGATGATTTCTCAAAAATAGAGTAGTAAATGAAAAAAATAAGAACACATTATTTACATGGTTCGCATTCACACGATCAAGATGATCAACTACTTCCATGGGAGAATACGAGAGAGAGAGAGAGAGAGAGAGAGAAAGAGAGAGATCTTATTGCTTATTGTCGAAAGGCTTCAATGATAACACATTAGGTTACATAAATTCAAAGGGTATAAATATTAGTAAGTTGACCTAAAACTGTCAGCAAATTCAATCCCATAAAACTCTAATAAAAATTGTCGTATGACAAAATTGAAGGCGATACCTCCAAACTTTTCAAATTCTTTTTTAGTTAATACATTAAATTCATTATTATTTTAATTTAAATATTAACTATCTATTTTCAATTTATAATACTTATTTTGTTAAATATGATGTAACTTCAAAACATAAAAATATTATACTTAATTTATTAATTTTAAACCCTCACTTATAATTATTAATCTAATATATTTAGCTTGTTAATTTTAATATACTGTCAAATTCAAAACATTAATCAAAATTTCAAATAAGTTTATATATAAATATTTCTCTTTCTAAATATTTAAAAAGTTTAAATATAAGATCTAAATCAAAATGTCAAATTAATAAAACAAATATATGATTAAAAACTACCTTCTATAATTATTTTCAAAAGAAATAGTCTTAAAGTTATTTAAAGATATTAAATGTTTAATTATTATGTTAAAATTCAAACCTACATCAAGAGATAATTTTAAAATTATTAAAAATAATAAAGGTTTAAGTATAATAATAATTTTAAAACCTATTTCAAAATGCCAAATTAACAAACCTACATATATATATTTTATTGAAATGATATGCTTATAAATTATGTTTATCTTGCATTGATTAGCCATTAATAGTTAAAATTAACTATAAATCAAGAAACGATCTTGATATACATACCAATGGATAACGGTTATTGAGATGATTTTAATATATATATATATATATATATATATATATATATATATATATATATATATATATATATATTATAATATATTAAAATACTTATAATATTTTATAACAAGTTAGTGTCAGAATTATAAATTCAAAGTTATAAAAAAGGATATGTGTGTTTGGCATGAAGCTTTTGGAAGCATTTGAGAGCTTCTAGTTTTTAACAAAACGTTGTAGTTTAAACAAAAAGCTTGGTTTGACACTACGAGTGTTTAGCTTTTAGTTTGACAAATCGCTTCAAATCTAAAAACTACTTCATGTAACTTTTAACAAAAAGCTACAGAGCTTTTGAAATCAATTTCCATAAATGCCCTTAAAAATATATTTACATATATATATATTTTTTTAAAGCAGTTGTCATTTTATGTAATTTTATATATTTCAAAAGCTTTTAGCTATTTTTGTCAAACACTCATATAATAAATAAAATTTACAGCTCCAACTACCAGCTACACGCTACCTGCTACCAGCTTCCAGCTAACAGTTACTTTTGCCAAACACTATTTTAATTGGTAATATTTTAGTTATATTTACGCACTATATATATCCTCCTAGTACCTATTATCTATTATCTATTAATTATTAATTATTATTTATTATTATTATTATTATTATTATTATTATTATATATATATATATATATATATATATATACTTATAATAGAGACATTTTTTCTTCAGCCACGTTCATTTGAAACCCCAAATTTTTAAATTTTTTTTTAAATTAATACATTAAATTTAATATCATTGTAATTTCAATATTATCACTATAATATAGTTAGTTTGTTAATCTAAATATGATGTTAAATTCAAAACATAATTTTTATAATATATTCAAAACCTATTTTTTCTAAATAGTTAAAACGTTTAAATATAAGATCTAAATAAAAATGTCAAATTAACAAAAAAAAGGTTGATTAAAATTTACTTTTTATAATAATAATTATTCCTCAAAATAGAGAGTTTAAAATAAATTAAAAATATTAAAATTTTAAATATAATATTAAATATAAAACATCTATCAAAAGATAGTTTTAAAATTGATTAAAAATAATAAAGTTATAAATAAAATGTTAAATATAAAACCTACATAATTTCAAAATTTACAACCTATGGATATATTTAATTAAAATAATATCACATAGAATATGTCTATATAAATTGAGTTTATTTTTATATTTATGGGTAGCGGCTATTGAGATGATATGACTTTAAATAAATTAATATGAGATCTATTATTTGATATTCATAAATTAATTATGAAAGTAATTTTGAACATCCATGTGTTGATAATGGTTATCATTTATTTAAAATACTTAGAATGTTTTATAATAAATTAGTATAAGAATTATTAATTTAAAGTTACTAACAAGAATATATTTATTTTAATAACATATATTTTTCAATATTTTAATTATAACTGTGCAACGCGCAGAATATTGCCTCGTATATTATAAAAGAAGTTATTTTTTATCACCATATTTATTTTGAAAACCCCAAACTTTTCAACTTCTTTCTTAGTTAATACATTAAATCTATTAATATTATACTTGCACCATATTATTTTGGAACTCCATTAACTCTTCAGATTTCTATATAATATACTTAATTTATTAACTTAAATATGTTATTAAATATAAACATTATCATAAATGATTGATTTCTTGAATTATCCTTATAATATACTTAAAATTTTATATTTAAATATGTTGTCAAATATAATATCTAAATTAATATATCAAATCAACTTAAAACTGATTGAAAAACTACTTTTAAAAAATAGTTACATAAACATTCAAATGTGGAAAATTTAATACCAAAACCAAAACAAAGTCTATTTTTTAAATTAGTTTTTTTAACGACAAATCTAATATGTTTTTCTAAACTATTCTTTAATTTCACATATGTTCGCGATAACATTTGAACCATCAACCTGAAGGAAGGAGGACAACACCTGATACCGCTGAACTAAAAGTTTTTTTTTAAAAAAAAAAATATTAAATGTGTTAAATTTAAAAGAACCTAGATCAAAGGTCTAATTAACTAAAAAATATCTAAAAATTATTTTTTATAATAGCCCAATTTATCTTAACTTTTTATTGTGATTTTTAAATTAATTTTTTCTTTGAATGACAAATATAATCTACTCTTAAACTACTTCTGATTTCATCTATATTTGAGATGAGACTTGACCATTGATCTCAATGGTGGGTCAACATATCAAAGGACCCGAAGGTAGGCAACTACAAAGACAATAAAACGTTTTTGAACAAAGTTATCATATGCTTTCTCAACAAAATAAAGTGAGGAGACTTTCAGAAAAAAGATCAATTATACACCAAATTGAGGAATACAGAAAAGTGAGAAAAGTGAGGAATACGATTTGAAAAGTGATGAAAATGGTGCAAGTGTTATACACTGAGTACGTCCAAAAGGAAACATGAAACCTTTCAGTTATACGGACTTTTAGAATGTTGGCAAAGAGAGCAAAAATGGCATGAGATTACGTAATTTTAACTTTAATGAATGAAATTTTTTGTTTTGATTAAAATTATGTTGTTTTAATTATTCATAAAAATGTAATGGAAAACCATCTCCATCCCTTGGCAAGAAATAAGAGAAAAGTGGTGAGATGACACTCATACGACATGGAATCTCTTGTGACAAAAAGTGATACCACACATCGAAACCCACATCAATAGCAACGCCAATAGACATCATTAGCAAAAATCTAATATATTTACAAATAATGAATATTCACATTTATAACACCTCACATTCAGTTCTCTTGAACACAACTTAAAAACCATTAACATACCAAAATTTCTAGCACTTAGAAGACTTTTATCGCATACACAAAAGACCAAAACAACCACCAACTCACCTTCTACTTCTTGTTATTATTAGCTGCCACAACTGCTCTAGGCGGTGTTTCATTCCAACCATCCGGAAGTAGGCAAGAATAAAGAAAATCTTCAAAACACACAAAAATACAAAAAAAAAATTACTTCCAAGAATCAATCATAAACCCATTAAAATTTCGAAAACTTTTTCATACTTTCTAGCTCCAAATTGATCTTTTTCCAAAGTTAATAACCTTTAAATCAACTTAAACCCATGGTTGAGTTAGTGATAGTCCACGATATGAAAGTCACAAGGGTGAAATTCTCACTTTTTATGCATGTGATATACATTATTACAAAATACTAACATTTTATGACACTAGTGATAATATATCGATAAAGACTCGCATACATAAGATCAACTTGTTTTCTAGATTGAATAAATCGTCTAAATAAGTAAAAAAATAGCCATATGTATTAGCTAAATATGTTAAGTGATTCAACTTAAAACGAGTTATTGCACTTACTGAGTCGAGCGAGTCGATTGATCCACCCTGGGATTGACTTTTTGGTCAATCTTTTAGACGCATCATTCGCAAAATGATTGCAGTTTCTGAAAATGATGTTGTAACTATTTCCAGGATACTCTTTTGCCATTTTCTTTATGAATTCTCTGCATTCTTGTTCATCCATTTCTGTTCTTCCAATTAAAATAGATTTCCTTATTTGTAAACCTTGGAAATGTTTCGGTTCCAATTTGAGTATTCCAGGTCTCGAATTGTCGCTACCACCAAACGCATACTCGACCCCATAAACTGTTCAAAACCCAAGATTCGTTAGATTTTACATACATTTATAGGATAATATATCAATTTTGAATTGAATTAGCAGAATTAAATAAAAAAAGGGTCAACAATTTGGAAAAATAAAGGTCAAACCTTGAACACCAGAGTGAAAAAAACCAAGGCCAAACCAATATACGAAACTATTGACAGGCATAAGATCATAGACATTTATATATACAGGAGTTCCTGTTTTCTTTTTCTTGCGCATCATTCCACACAACATCTTTCAAAGTTCGAATAAAACCCAAAAAAATTTCTCAAATTCTACTCTTTTTCTCTGTTTGTAGATACGATTGATCGAAATTTGTGAGAGGGTTTGTGGGGAGTTTTTCAGAACAACCCCCAAACACACCCTTTTGAGTACGCATAACCCACAAAAGAAACCCTTTTTCTTAGTTTTGAAATTGATTATGGATTGGGTTTAATGTTTGGGGTTTGTTGGAATTGAATTTGAAAAAGATCCCAAACAAACCATTTAGTGTATGCATCTTTTGCCTTCATTTATGTGTTTGTTTTGTTCGAAGGGAGGAAGCGGGAGGTTTCAAGAGAATCGTAGGAATTTGAGGAGGCAAACGGTTCGTCATAATGTCATTTGCTGTTTGAAAATTGTGAATAGTTGCCCCTCGACTTCAAATCATTTGAAAAATAGTAAATTACATTTTTGGTCCCTTTACTTTTCATCTGTCTACATTTTTAGTCAAACTTATACATTTTTGACATTTCTCATTGTTGTGGTTTCCAAAAACTGAACGCATGGTCCTGAGACTAACCCCATCAATTTCTATCAATTAAATGCATGTAAAATAACCATTATATGCTTTTTTATTTTCTTTATTTTTGACATTATTAATAACTCCAAAGACTATTTGTGTAAAATAATAAAAACAATGTTTAAAGGCTTTCAACCATAGACATGTCATTCATGACATCTATGTTTCACTTTTTTTGACATCTCCATCGACCTACAACCACCGCCAACTATCGACACCCTTCCATTCATTCACTGTCGCCTCCTCCAACTTCACATCATTAGCAATTGTCTTCCCCATCAATGTTGGTGTCCAAACAACCCCCATGTTCTCGATCCACTATCTCATTGTGACATTCCGAAATTTAGGTATAAAACTGTAGATAGTCAGTTCACAACGGAAATCTTTGTAATTTGACCTATTGAGCTTAAATGCATATTTTGAAAATATATAGTGTTATTAAAACTATTATAAGATACCATATGGTATCTTACTTCCATTTGTGGAAAATCTCAAACGAATCACATAACTCAAACTGCAACCTAGTTAATACGTCTGAAAACTAAAAATTTGTATTAAGCAGTTGTGAGCGAAACAACCATTCTTGTCTCATAGTACATGTTCCCCTGTTTCCAAAAATATAAAGAATGTCCAAAACGGAGTTCGTATGCAAAAGATACGACGGTTATAAGAAAAACAAACCAATATAACACAAATTTTCTTTAAACTGCTAAAGCCAACTCGATCCATTGAGGAACTTGCACACCTCAGATACTAATTTCGAGAGCGTTTATGGACTAATACTATGGTCTAATATTTAATTTCATACTCGAAATACTTTTAGTAAAAATATTTACAAACGTCGAAAAATCGGACATCTCAGGTCATTTAGACATGAAACTTTAAACACGATTTTCCGGAGTTCTAAAACTCAAAAAATTAATTCGTTTAGGTTTTTGGAATCCTAGAACTCTACTCTATCATCTGACACTTTCTAAAAAAAATATAGACTTTGGGAACTTGGCACACACACCTAGATGTGTTTTTAGGGCATTTTTTTGGAAGATGACATCACTAGGCCCCACCATGCTTGTTTGAATGATCAAAAAACCAGACAATGCTTCCCTCTTGGACCCTTAACCAATTTTTTTACGACCATCCCGACCACCTTACCCATTTGTGTGCACACTTGTTCAAAAAGTACAAGCACGTGGTATTCTTTGGTGTCTTTGACTAACCTTTGAAGTATGGCTTGCATGGCCTTGCATGAGACTTTCTTAGGCTATAAATAGACACCATGGCCTCCCCATTTCCTCACAAATTCACCAACAAAATTCTCTCATTACTCCCTCTCCAATCATGTTCATCTCGTCCTTCTTCCGGATCTCTTTCTCCAGTCGTTGAATTTGCTTCTCATGACAAACGTGGGTCTGCTTGATTAGGTCATTGGTAGCAGACACCAGATCATCATGGACCTTGAGCATGGAAGTGATGGTGTTGAGATAAGTATCCACCAAAGCGTCGTACTTGGAGTCAACTTCCTCAATCGTGTGCTTGAGCCGGATGGAGATCAACTGATCAAGGTGGGCTTCTCTTTCGGCAACTGATGGTCCGGACTGCTGGGATAATGACTGGAGAATGGCATCAAGTTTGGAATCAAGTCCGGAGACTTTTTGATCCAATTTAGAGTTCAGATCTGTTACGGATGCCTCTACAGATGACACTTTCTGCATGGTGTCAGAGACATTGGTTCGGATCTCGAGAAGAGAGAAGGGGTCAACGTAGTCACCAGCTGAGGATTCTGAATCAGAATCAGAGTGTTACGGAGGAGGTTGGTGTACGTTCGGATGTGAAGAGGGACCCGGTTTTGTTGCATCATCATCTTCTTGAAGTTTGGAATTGGAACCGCCGTCCGGAGTGGTAGAGGAAGAGGATCCGAAGTCATAAGCAAACTTGGATACGGATGCCTTGGATTGGTAGTGAACTGAAGTCATGAGATGTGCATCCGGAATGGTTTTTGCCTCTTCTTCCAGCATGACTTCTTCAGAGATCTCTTTGCTCGGATCGGTATGGAAGATGCTTTGATGAGTAGTGAGGGGAGGCAGTTCCGAAGTGAGCTCATTTATAGCATTGGTGTCAGTGGGAGGAACATAGGGCAAGTAGCTTTGGATGGCTCTGTTCCTCATGGAGATTAGAGTAGACTCCACTTGAGCTCTAGTGAGGTCCGGACGTGTAGATGCAGCCCTGTTGACAAAATCTTCCCATTGGGGATCGTTAACACATGGTCGTCCTGTACGCCTTCTGGGTATCAGACCAGTTGAGGCTTCCGGAGGAGGAGGGACTACTCCAGCTCCGGACAGCTTGGGGTCCGGAACAATGGTTCCGGAGTGTGTGCGTGTAGAAGAGATAATGGGATCATCAAAGGTGACTCGTGGGTGTGTTCCAGGGGGCTGCAAGGAACTATGTTCAACACCGGCATCACCCTTTTGGGAGGGTGAGGGTGGATTATGTGGTGACTCCCTGTGAGTGTGTCTTGTGCTTTTGAAACATCGAGGGGTGCCTCAAATGAGTGGGTAGGTGGGGTGAGCGGATGGCCAGAATCAGCCGGAATGTCATGGGTGCCCTCCTGTTGAGAGGGAGCACTGACTTTGGCTTTCTTTTTGGTATTAGGCTTGGTAGGAGAAGCCTTTCGTTTGGCTGGTTTCTTGACTTCGGGTCCGGACGAAGTTGGATTGGCCTTTTCCAAGATGGGCTCAACAGAGACAGGGGCAGGTTGTGTTGGGTCGAACACAACCGAAGTCTCTAAGTGATGTTTTAAATAAGGGGACTCGGAAGGAATTAGGGCCAACATGTGGTCCGGAAGTCGTCTGACCGGACCAAAAGAGGATTGGTCCGGAATCCTATAAGATTTTACAAGTTTAAACGAGACACATACCTCCGGAGGGATGGTGTTAACCGGAAGTGGTTCCGAAAGCTCCTTGAAGACTTGTTCGATCGTCAGAGCCCAAAACCTAGGGCTTGAAATTTCATTCGGCTTCCTCTTGGTAGCAAACTTGCAGAAGTCTTGCCACAAGACTTCCGGAAGATCAACATCATTCTCGCGTACGGAGTAGATGCTGAATACGACATTGAGCCAGTCCTTTCTTAAGGTGTTCGTTCCTCCATGCTTTCCGGACAGTCCTCTGAGGATGAAGTGCATCAATACAGTCCATAGTCTGGACACAACAGTCTTCATGAAATCTTTCGCTTTGTAGTCTTGAGAGTATCCAATGTAGTTCAGGAACGTCTGAAACTCTTCAGACGTTGGTTCAACAACTTTGAAACCCCTTGGGTTAGCTTTAACACCAATCTCCTTGAGAAAGGTCGATTTGTAGATTGGAACTGTTCTGTCACCGACGATTGGGATTGAAACATCCCAAAAATACGGCGCAAAAATTTCGTTTTTCAATCATAATAAAAATCATAAACCATCCAGTATCATAAGTAAAATCGTAAGTAATGTATCATAACACATCATAAAATCTGTCTCATATATAAATCTCATGACAAAATATCAGAGTGAAACTCCCATGCTGAAGACTGTGGTGTGTGCCATGCGATCATCCCGAGCCCTTCCCTTTGCTAGTGGAAGTACCTGAAACCAAAACTGAAAACCGTAAGCACGAAGCTTAGTGAGCTCCCCCATACTACCACATACCATACAATAACACGTAAAGCACATATTGGGCCTTGCCCATTGCATCGGACCGCAACCCGGAATAACTTGGGCCTTGCCCACTGCATCAGACCGCAGCCTGGAATAACTTGGGCCTTGCCCACTGCATCGGACCGAAGTCCGGACTAACTTGGGCCTTGCCCACTGCATCGGACTGAGGTCCGGAATAACTGGACATATCATATACATAAACATGTAACATAAACATATAACTACTGCATCGGACCGAAGTCCGGAACACAAGGCACATAACATAAATATGCATGAATCACAAAGACATCAAGCATACATACTACTTCTCGGGACCACCCCGACATCGGACCGAAGTCCGGAAACATATAAACTGCATCGGGCTAACCCCGGCATCGGACCACAGTCCGGAACTACTAACATCTAAACGGGCCGGCATTGTGGCCGTAGACCTATTCCTACTGGAAAGGAAACTCACCTCGTATGGCTGACTGCTGAAAGACTGGGTGAGGGATCCCTATCTGCTGCTCCGGCGACTCTCCGGCTATAATTCCATAACAACACTCAATCAAAAACTGATAATCCTTCTTAGGGTAAAATAACCATTTTACCCTTCTGGTCAAAGTCAACGCCAAAGTCAAAGTCAACTCTCAGTCAACCCAACTCGCCGAGTCCTTCTACCGACTCGTCGAGTTCAAACGGTCATATCATCAGGACATCTCGATTCTACTCGTCGAGTCTCTCCTTGGACTCGTCGAGTTCTTTTGCTTCCGAGTCTTACTCATGTCCAACTCGCTGAATCATCTCCTTAACTCAGTGGTTTCACTCATAATCAAAGAAGGGTTTGGGGACATCGATCCGACTCGTCGAGTCCCAAGAACAACTCGGCGAGTCCATTGCATGCTCAGATTATACAGTTGATCCTGGTGATTCCCACTGCCTCTAATTCATAGATCTGGACTCCTTAGGCTAGAGTAACACGTAAAGTTGCTAACTTTACGTGCATGCATGATGCTATGAAGCTAAAACG